CATTCTTGTTAAATGCCATATTGTTAATATGAGTTTGCAGATGCTGCTTCTGAAGCTGATGATGGAGTGTTACATATCTGCTCCTAATCCCTGATGACATTTGAAGATGGGAGTAGAATTTAGTGATACATGGAATGTAAATTCCCTTGAAACGTTAATGGTATTTCACTATCAGACTGTAATGTTACACCAATTAAGTATACACACGATAAATGAGAAAACAAGTGCAGCATATCCAGACTGTTGCAGACAGAAAATTTTTGAATTGACACCGTTTAATGTACTATGAATATAAATATTGTTCTTACTATCCATCTGGAGTGGGAAACCACACAGAAGAATCTCTGGACTGAGTTTGTATGTAGTGAAGAGCGTTTAGTTATCTGAAGGAAGGTATCCGAAGATCACTTTCAGACTTTTTATTTGTGCCAACTAACATTGCAACCTAAATCGCTGCTCCACTGCTTTGTTTTCTATAAATAAGCTGGCAGTACCACTGCTAAGCTTTGGGCTTCCTTCACTGCTAGTACAACTTGAACTTACTGGGTTTTGTTTCAATATCGCTTATTCTTTTGACATAAATCCTTGCAGTGAAGACAACAGAAACACAATTTCATTTGTATTAGGATGGCAATTTCTAAAAACAAACAAATGAAAAAAAAATTTCTCCTTTCTCTCCCCTATGTCCAATTTCTATTTTTATGACAAAATGGTATTTTATAGCCAGTTATACAGGGAAAGTTCTGGTGCTAGAGTGCAAGATGGTGTAGGGGATCGAAGTACCCATCAAGCAGGAAAAGCTGCTCAGAAACATGCATTCTCAGTAGCTGCATGAGCAGTCCTGTGAACATCAGCCTTTTGGAGGGGGCCTGTGTCTTCCCTGAAAACAGTGAGAAATTTCTAAGGAGTCCTCAAAAAACCAATGTTTCTTAAACCTTCTGATTACCCCAGGGAATTCAGTAGGAGATCACTTGAAAACAGCTTGAAAAATTCATTTACATAGCATGTCCTGCAGTTCTCAAGCTTGCTGCCCCAGAGAGGCTGGGCAGGTGGGCACTACTGACAGCCTCAGGTAGATAAAATTCAAAGTTTGCTGCCCGAACTTGATCCCTGGGAATGGTAAGTCACTGGGAACACTCTGTTGTTGTTGCCTAGTTGGCAATTTCAGCATATGAAGACAGTTAAGAAGCGCTGGATGAATTAAGTAGTTTTTTTAGGGGAAAAAAATGTGCTGACTGATTATTTAGTTATCTTAAATCGGTGAGTGTAAAAAGGCCATGACTTGATGGCACTTTGGGGAAAACATTGATATGGGAAAATATGTGAATAATAGAAGACATACCGCCCAGTATTCCTCCTTTTGATAAATTTATTTTGTACAAACACAGCTGCTGTTAATGTTCATCCCACACACATATAAACTGTGTTTTATGTTCCCTGTGTTCATACTTTAAATCCATAAGTACATTGATCCTGGAGATCTTCATTAAGAATTGAATCTCCTGCTTCACTCTGGTGGGTTTTATTTTGTTGTTATTTGATGAAAAAACGTACATAGCTCATTGAATGCGTTCTTCCATAGTAAGTACTCCGGTCCCAAAAGAGGGCCTGCACAAGTATAAAAAAAGGACATTTTTGGCAAAATTAAAAGGAACAACAGATCCAGTGGTAATGCTTGTACAGGAGTAAACGTGAACATATAGAAATCAGTGTGCTTTCAATATTTTTTTTTTCTCCTGTAACACAAAGGGGGAACGTAGTGAACTTAAAGAGCTCTTTGTGGATGTGGAACCTCTCCTTGGACCTATGGTGGGAAAATGCTGCAAGGCTCTTTGTCATACCCCTCACATCTTGTCTTGTATCTTCCCATCAATGACAAAGTTATTGCCTGATGGATTTATCTGCCTTCATGAATGGAAATACAGTGCTGGATCTCTTTTGCCCCCACCCAATGAAAGATAAAGTATTGATCCATCTTCCTGGGAAATCTTCCAATTTTGAGGTTCTTAGGAGCTGGAAAAGAAAAATGGCAGAAGCAGAGCTTTAAAAGCAGTTGCTTTCAAACTGCAAATGGAGTGTAGTACTGTGTACGTACAAAAATGCCCTTTCTTTGTGAAGAAGGCCATCCATCAATGTGAGTACGCAGGCTTTACATTGTAAGGATGTTTTCGGTCTATATACGCAAATCTGGAAAGTATAAGATCCTTAAGCATTCCATGCTATTCCAGGCAAAATCCTAATTGGATGAACCGTGTGTAATATTGTGGTATTTCGATAGGAATTCTGGGATCTGACCATAATAAGCTAATTTTCTGTGTTAACTCTTTATTTTGAGTGTCCTCTCTTCCTCCTGCTGGTTTGTAGCTTCTCTTTTGGAACTATAATTGCTTGGCAAGGATGGGTCTGAGGGCTTTTTAGTTGGTTTTTTGTTGTGTTTTTTGGTTTGTTATAGGTTTTTTGGGGGTTTTTTTGTGTTTTTGGGGTGGGTTTTTTTTTTTGTTAATGGATATGTTTCTCCATCTGTTGTAGTTTTACCCTGGCTGGCAGCCAAACACCATAACTGCTTGCTCACCCTCCTCCTTCCTGGGGATGGGGGAGAGAGTTGAAGGGTTAGAGAGACTTGTGGGTTGAAATAAGAACAATTTAATAACTAAACTACAATAATGTTGGTAATAATAATAATTATAGTAATATATACAGATATACAAATGAGGGACACATGGTGACACTGCTCACCACCCGATGGCCAAGACTCAGCCTGTTCCCAGCTAATGATCCCAACTTTTCTGGCTTGTGACAGATTTGTGGGCATACAGCTACTTGGAGGATGCTCCCTAACCTTTATGGTGTCTCTGTAATGGTCTCAATGTATTTACTTGTTCACACACATCCACATAATTAAAAAATAATTAAAAAGTGTTGGGTTTTTGTGCTTTAGTGAAAGAGCAAAAGTTACATCCATTTAAAATCTTTCACTCTTGTTCAACTTCAGGTTTTTGCAGTTGGAGCAAATGGGGGTGGGAGATAATTGGTAGAGCAGTACAGTTATATAACTAAAAGCTTTTCTGCTGGAAGTTAGGAAAGCAGATTGCTTGGCCATCAATATGCAACACGTGCTCTTAATCTTCCCACAGTGTCCATGCAGAGGAGTACAGTCAAACAGTGCATATGGGTTTGGTAGATTAACGTGTTCAAATAAAAATGCTATCAAAAAATTTCCTTTAGGGTACAATTTTTTTTTTTTTTGAGAAATAGAGGTGGTGTTATACCATTTGAGGATTTAAATAGTATTTATTTTGCATAATTAATGGCAGATATTATTCTTAGAAATCATAAGTGTCGATGGCTTTCAACATGAAGGTTGTAATCTAAAAATCTTGGGGGGGGGGGATCAGCTAAGAAAAAGAGGTTATACAATGTAACACAGTGGTGATAAGAGTACTAGATGGTGTTCTATGGGGAGAATATCCTCTTACTATCATTGAAGAATGCTCAGCTAGCCAGTGTTGGTTACTTGTGTCACCAATTTCACATAAATAGTCATGAAAGTAGTGACTGGGATATCAGTGTTTTTTTCTGTATGGTGTCAGGGGGTGTTGTTTGATTGTTTGGGTGGGTTGGAGGTTTTTTGGTTTTAGTTTTTGGATGGAATGGCAATATTGTGTTGATACTATTGTATGAATACACCGGCCACTGGACTGAGGTGAAAGACAACAGCGTATGACCATTGTTTGCCCTGCGAGTTTGTTGGAGTTGGTGGTAGAGATGTTCTAGATTGTCCTTCTGTATCTATGTGGACATGTGACTTCAGCTTCTCCACGACATGCGATAAACGTGAGGTTTGTTTATCTGTGATGGAACAAGATTGTAACATCAGATGAGAGCATCTGAATTCTGTCGAATTTGGTGTTAGCAGTTAATAAGAAGCTGTGCTGCTGTTGCAAGATAAGGTCTATCTTGGACCCTTGGTTTATTCAGTTTCTTCGTAATCACCCTTCCAGTTTGAAAATCTGTTTGTTGGTTTGTTTGTTTGTTTTTTTGAGTTATGCAAGCAATCAAGTAACAATCAAGGCTGTTAACCTTTTCTTTTAGGACCATTGCCAGAAGGGGGGAGTCCTCCTCCTCCCTTGGGCGGAGGAAAGAGAGCAAGGCAAAACAAAGCAGGTTTTGACACAGCACTGAGTTAAGCTTCCACGGGGTCCTCCAAAAGCATTGTCTGCCTTCCTGCAGATGCTTAAAATCACCCACCGTGGAGTCTGCAATTTCACAGGATGGCTGAGCCAGTCTCTTGGCTCTAAGGCACAGAAGGAGGCATCGGCACTTGGCCGCGGGTGCACAGCGCTTGTGCTCTGTCCCGTTTATTGGGGCTGCTCTGGGTAGGGAAGCCACTTGTTAGATTGGATTCGTTGCAGTGAAACGAATCGTAATTATTTGAGGTTAAATAAAGTGGTTAGAGGTTAAAGCATGCAAAAATCAGTGTCCCCTTGTCTGAGGTATGCTTTGGGTGGGCAAGTGGGCCATTTTTCTGTACAGAAACCAGAAGTCAGGAATGTGTTGGTTTAAGCGATAGCATCCCCAGGACAGGATGCTTTTGCGTTTGATGGAAAGCCTGTTGGTGTTCATCTGGGTTTAAAACTAGGAGAAATAGGGGAGTGACGATGAAATAAAGAGTAACCTTGTTTGAACACGTTTCTTTTTTCAGAACGACTTTGGTTTGTCTTACTACTGTTCCCAGTATTGTGTTGCTCTGCTGGGCAGTAGGAGGAACAGACAGACACCTATGAACCTGATGGCTCTCCTTTAATTAGTTGGTAGCCTTTTGCACGCACGTATATGGATGCACATCATAGAAAAACAGCTTCTGCTGAGCAGCTGCCGGCTCTCACCGGTTGTTTAACTAGAGGACGATGCACAAAATGGTCATAACACATTTCTTATAACACAGTGACTAAGCTGATCTTTGCACGGTGGATCTGAATATTGCTCTTTTTCTCCTCTAGTTTGTGGAGACATCCACGGCCAGTTCTTTGACTTGATGAAACTGTTTGAAGTGGGAGGTTCTCCTGCCAACACGCGATATCTCTTCCTGGGGGACTACGTGGACAGAGGGTACTTCAGCATTGAAGTAAGTTTCTTATTTCTGTTTCTGCTATTGTGTGTATTTAGTGTTATACCAGTTCAGGAATACTGAACCTCTTCACAGATACCACTTGTGAGCAAAAGAAGTCCACATTAATGTTGCTGGTGGTGTTTTCGTAAAGGTTGTTTGGTATCCAGCCAGATCCCGCTATATCTGTGCTGGGAAGTGGATGGAAGATGGAGCTTGGTGCTAACTAGTGGCCATCCAAATGTAGCACAGAAGACAGTTTGCTCTGCAGCTTGTACAAGCTAAATATGATGAATAGATGGGAGCTATTAGAAAAGAGATGTGCAGAAAAACTAAATGAGCAACTCATAGTTTAGTTTTACTTTTAGGTTTATTTGATCTGAGTCTCTTAGATGGGAAGTGTTGTGAAAATGGAAGGGGCTGGACAGGGGGTGAATGGGACAAAAACCCAGTGCTGGAGAAAATGAATGAGTTCTGTTTAGATCTGGCGTGCAGGAGTGGATGATCTCTGGCTTCTGATGCAGCACTTGAATCTGCAGAGAAGAAGTGATGCGCACGCGCCCTGTTGAAGGTGCAGAGGTGCAGACTCCAGTATCGGGCTGTAGAACGTGGGGGTCTGTGACTAGATAAGATGGCAGCATGCAGGAACACATCCACTGCTGTCTCCTTCTGCATACCACATCTTAGTATGCTGTTGCCATGTTGATATAAAAATATGTAATCCCAAACAGCTGAATTATTTATAATGTGTTGCCAGTTTTATATTTATAGTATGAAGGGAAGTTTCTGTAAAACAAAATTCTCTAAAACGACTTTTGCTTTATTACTTCACTTTAAAACTTAATTTAAAACATTAACAGGATCTTGGGGAGGTGGCACATTTTACAAATAGAAATATGCTGTTCCAAGTGCAAATGCTCTAAAAACTTAAGAATTGCAAGTTCTTTCTCCCACCTGCCAAAAATCAATGTAGTCAGGATTTAGTCTTATACTGAAGTCAGCACTTTGATCATTATTTTTTTGAGCCCCGTGTGCCTGCTTCTTGCCTCCTTTGATCCATGATGAGCTGTGAGCTAAACCATCACTATGTGGATCACCATGCTGGACCACTTGGGGAAGGTTGGGAATGTGGGAGGTGACTTCACAGGCTTCAACTGTTGCTCAGTCTTGAACTACCATTTTTTCAGTTGCAACAAACTAGTTCATATCTCTTCCAGACTTCAACCGAGCTAAGTTGCCTCTGGAAGAGGAGAGTTTTCTCTTCATTTTATATATGTTTTTAATGTAAGAAATAGAACAAGTGGATTTGCTTCGGCTTTCAAGTGCTTGTCTGACAGTTTGCCAGAACCTCCTGCAGGGCTATTCCCAGTTAAAGACAATAGCTAGCCACCTAACACAGAGCAAAATAGCTTATGGGTGGGGAACAGGCCCCTTAAAATTGCTCATTTAGCAACCTGCTCATTTATATTTAGCAAGTTATATTCTGAATTTAGTTTTTCCATTCTGGAACAGTACTTTTTCGCTGGAAGCAGTACTGGCTTCTGCCAGCGCCAGGAAAGTATCTGAGCTGTCCATTATGTTATTCCTTTTTGTATGTAAGGTTCTCAAATTACTACTTTTTTTGGTCACATAACCTGTTCTCCCCACCTGTCACCTTGATTAAAGAATGCCTTTGAGAGGAAAGGCAGGTTTCTGTTTTGTAAGTGTATTTGGATGTAGAGCTGTGCATTCAGGCGTGAACTCGGCACAATAAGTAGTGACAAGGAAAGGGAAAGGGTGAAGAATGCGACCTGGCATGTTGGGGGAGGCGGATCTGTTTGGTGGAGAAGGGGCCCTGAGCATGTCTAGCAGGCACCGGCTCTTGCCAGTACTTTGTGGAGGAGAAGTCATGTTGGTGAACAGTCCTAGCCTGCTCTGTGTGTATGTCTCCCACATCAGTCATGCCATGGTCTTTATTCCATCGATCTGTTGGCTCCCCTTTCTGCTATGTAGAGATGAGACTATTGCAGTTCTGGGGTCTTCCCAAAAGCTGGTCCAAGGTACTAATCATAAGTAATATAAGCTTTAAAAAAAAAAAAATCCCTTCAATTGCCATGTGATACCTAGTGTAAAAGTGACACCATTGAGCCTAGACCTAGCTGAATTCTGGTGGTGGGCGAGATAATCCTCGTCTGTGGGCTGCAAAGCATTTGGGATTCTTCTGGATGAAAGGTACTATATAATGTAAGCTATTATCATTAAGAACAGAGGAAGAAATTGCATAAGGTAGGTGGAAGGCATTTGATAATGCAGAGGGAAAAAGAGAAAAGTATTTGTATAAGGCATTCAGCAGAAATGGCAGTCCTTGCCCCATGGAGCTTTTCATCTAGGGGATCAATTCTTCTCATGTTCCATTTGTACCGGAGTTAGCTCTGCTCTTTGAAGGAGGGGGTCTTGTGTGTCTTTAAAAATTAGTTCTAAGCAAGGTGTTGCAGGATGAGAGACTAATAAAGGTATTACAGCGGGTAAAACAAAAAATGGCAAGACTGTAGATAGAATGAGATAGGGTTTCTCGCACAACGTGGGACCCGGCTAGCTCAGTCGATAGAGCATCAGCTGCCTTCTCAGCACAAATCCAAAACACAGCCTCACACTAGCTACTGTGCAGATTGTCAGCTCTGTTTCACCTGAAACCAAGACAGGCCAGATCCTATCCCGTAGCTGCCCTCTTTTCGATTGGACCTTTTGGCAGAGCCAGAACAGTTCTTCACTTAGAGTAACACTTTTCTGCAAGTTGCAGTATCTGATACAGCGTGCTTCTTCCCTTGGCTCTGTAAGGCTGATGTTTCGCTGTTGTGCTCAGGCATCATTCCAGGGGTCTGCCTCTGGAGTAGAAGCCCCTCTCTTCTCGCTTTCAAACAAGTTTTATGGTCACAGAGAAAAGAAGCCCAAATGATCAAAACAGAGGGCTATTTTTAAATCTAAAGAATAGTTAGAGCATAAGGGGTTCTGCAGGAATGGGTTGTAAGGAAGAATGACTAATCTCTACCTGAGTCTGAAAACTCTGCTTTGAAAGACAGACCAAAGTGCCATGCCGTGTAGGGGGGGAGGATACATGTCCACTGCTTTTCATCACAGGCTTGGAAAAATTGCAATCAGAGTAAATACTGACTATGATGCATTAATAATGTTATATAAATGGACGGTTGGAATTATTTTTCTGCTCAATCCCACATAAAAACATACAGGCTTAAATGTCAATTGAGTATAATAAGGTACATAAGGAATAACATAAGGATTATTTTTGACAGATCAGGTAGTTATGATATGGATAATTAAACCAACACTGAAAATGAACAAAAACGGAGTTGTGTTTTAAGGTTCGAAACATTCATACATCTTCATTTCCCAAATGCAAAGACCAAAATTTCAGGAGGAGAAACTTTTTGTGGTCTTTCGAGCAAGAACAAAGTGAGGTATTTGGAGTGAGTCTGTAATTTGACCATCAGACCTTGCATCAATTAAAAAAGCATCTGGCACTTGAGTAGCTTCTGAGCTCAGGGAACTGTTAGAAATTATTAACTGGTCTCTCCCAAGAAAATAATTACATATAAATAAATCTGTGTTAGTAAACTGTGAGTGAAGTGAATGCTGGTGAAGCTGTGTGTTTGTCATCTTTCAAGTCTCTGTGTGCTTTCTGGGACATCACTGGAAGAAAAAACACATTTCACTTGCCTCCATTGCTTTAGTGTGTTAATGTTTCCCAGTAAACAGCTTGATTTCAAGTAGGTTTGGCTGGTCGGGGATAGTTTACCAGTGAAGTCAGCTGAGTTTTTTTTCACTTCTCTCAGAGCAAAGAAAATCCTAATACCTTAATTATCCTAAGTTTTCGTGCCCTTTTCTTCTATATAACAGTAGCAAATATGTTTCTCTGTAGGAGAAATTTGCATCTTGTAAGATCTCAGTTTTGCTGGGCAGTGCTCCTCAGAGCCATGAATATTCAATAATTCAGCAAATTCAAATTATTTTTCTATATACTAAATTCCCAGGCCAAGAACCCCTTTTGGCTGCAGGGAGAGAACATGGGACAGGTCCTTGGCGGTTGCTTGCACTGGTTCCCCTGCACTGCTTCCATCTCTTTGGGGGACCCGTCACCGTAGCTGGGACCAAGACGTGAGGTCCATTGGGACCAAGACGTGAGGTCCATTGGGACCAAGACGTGAGGTCCATTGGGGAGAGCTCACAGCCAGCACTTGGATACCTGTTTTGAAAGTACTAGCTATAAGAATTTGAAGAACACGTCAGGAAAATAATTTTCTCATCACTTTTTATGGAGATTTTTCCAAGGGCTGAAATGGGAGTGATGTAGTCTAAACACTAGAAAAGAGTATAAGGCAAGGAGCAACATTCTGCGTGTTATCGCTTTTAATAAAATCATCTGGGAAGGCTACTTAGGGAGTCTTGCAATAATTGAAGTCTAAAGGTGCTAAAGTACCATGGAGGTGGCAAAACAAGATCTCAAAGGAGCTTGGAAATATTCAACAGATGTTTTAAAAAAAAAAAAAAAAAAAACCAAATGAACTACAAGTTGAATGATCAGAATGAGATTCTTGAAGAACGTTTTAGAAACAGCTGAGACCCTGACCCCGAGGAATCGATTCACTGTTATTCCGTGAGAATTCTGTTTCCACAGCAGGAGTCTTTTTAATTTTTAAATGCGCAACCCATATGTACGTGAGCACTGGTTTTAGAAACACAAAAAACAGGTAAAATAAGCGCACATTGGCCAAAAAGTGGTGGCAAAGAGTGTAAGTTGTCACTGAAGATCTGGTTGATGCAAGCAGCCCTACCTTGTCGTCCCTGTTCTGCAGCAGAGCTTTAGGAGGAGAGATCATCCTTTATGCCCTCCAAGTTGGGAAAAAAGAGAATGAAATCCTGGTTGTTGTGAAGCAATACAATTTTTTCTTTATTTTCAATAGTGTTGAGAGTTTTCTTTCCCTGTGCTCAAGGGATGGTAGTTCAGAAACAGCAAGAATTTGCATCTCTTGTATTTTGGTTACCATTGCAATGTATCTTTGTCTCTGAAATAAAACCGTAATAAATGGTCAGACCAGTAGCGTGAATGCAGGCATGTTTGTAAGGAGGTACATGGTTTACATTGGGATAGTTATTCCAATATTCAGTTATTCTTGCCATGAGTGCGCCGTGTTCCAGGTGCTGCTGTGGTTGCAGTCTGGTGGTGATGGTAACGATTTCTTCAGTGTTTTCAGCACCTCACTTGAGCTGTGTGCAAGAGGTCTGGGGCTTTTGGTTTTCCTTTTCAGAAGTAGTACATTCTTGATGAAAAAAAAGTTGGAGGAGGGGGGAAAAGAGATTTAAAAATTTTGCTATTGGGAGGCAGTATTACCAAATAGTTGAAGATTGTAAACTCAGGTTTTCAACAAGGGCAAATTACCGTACATCTTTTTACTTCAGTAAGAATTACAATATGCAAAGCATGGTTAAAAAAAAAATAAAACCAGAATGCTTGCTCTTGGTATGTTGTTTGGACATAAGTTTTTGTATGTAAATGATTGCGTAAGTTGAAAAGCCATGAAAAATTGTCACCCTCGTATTTGTTGTTTAGTTTGCATGGAAAACTGTCGGCTAATTAGTTCTTGTTTACAATAACAATATTACATCACTGGACTTCTGAACAGAAAAGGGAGAAAATTAAAGGAATTATCGAAACAAAATAAGCCTTTGATATGGTGCTACTAAAAACAGCACAGAAAGTGAATGGCGGGCTTACTTTACTTGAATGGTGGGAGGGAAACACAGAACTTTCTGGGCTGAGTTGATTCTGTAATCTTCTTGGTCTGCTTCTCATGTGTGCTTCAAAAGAAGCATCAAAAATAGAAAACCATAAATCTGTGATAACAAAATGTAAGAGATCTACCAATAAGAAAGTATCAAATGCCGAAGAGATAAAACTTCCAGCTTTCCTTATTTTCCCTGCTTCCCAGGTGTGGGTGATGCTTTAAGCCCCTAGTGCTCATTTCAATCTTGTCAAGGCTTTACGAAAATGAAAAAATTAGTTATAAGGGAAATGTAAACCACTCTTTTTTTTTTTTTTTTTTTTTTTAAAAAAGCACTTCTAAGCACTAATCATTGTGCTTTTCTACATTATAAGGTGCTTTGGCAAGACTAGAAGTTCTAAGGTAACTTAGATACAACTTCAAAAGCTGGAACTTCTCTTGCCTGGGTGGAGGTGTCATTTTAAATTTCTCATCTCGCAACATTTAAATTAATTTTTTGCATTAGCCAGTAAGTTGCTTTGTAATTGTGTGTGGATGGCATGAGGTTTAGCACAAACCTAAGTGTTGCATCCTTTTTTCAGTTTTGTTTTGTTTGTTTTTTTTTTTTTAAGATGTGGACTGTGTGGCAAATGAGGGAGCAGAAATCAAACTGTTGAGAAGCAATTAACGTAATTATTCTGTTTATAAAGACATTCTGAATTGTAGAAGGGAATTGATATTGTACAAATTTAGAGGCATTATGTTGACAAAATTGCTGATTTTACTCTGAGCAGAAGCTGCAGTTAGGAGTACCTTCTGAATTTCCAATCTATTGATTATTAAGGTAAATAAAGTAATTTTTGTCAATGGAAGGAAGGCTGGGGTAGTTGCAAGTAGCAGTAGGGGGGGTTTTGACACCTTTTGCTGCTCATGCAACAGTTTTGCAGTTCGTAGATATTTAAGAAAGGAAGGATTGGAGGAGAAATTGTTCAGGCAGTTTTCTAACTTGTTTTTTGAGAGACCATCGCGGTCTGTACAGCGTTCTTACAAACGGTGGGTTTGTCTCCTGGGATCTTCCATCGGCTTCCCGGAGCTGTGAGGGTGTCAGCCGGGTACCCGAGCAGGGTCATCTTGGACAGAGGATAGATCTCCCGTGAAGTTTGCAGGTTTCCTCATTTATCAAGAGTCTCATAATGCTTTGGCATCATTGCTGTTTCCGTTTTGTTCCCAAAACAACTATTTTAATTGGGTGGTTTTAAGAGGTCTGAGCAGAGATTAGCCTCTCCGAGTCTTCTTGTTTATCTTTAAAAACATGTCTAGAAGAAATGTCATCTCAAGTAGAAATCTTTTAGAAAGATAAAGGGTTTTATAAAAGCTTTGTAGTAACTTGATTTAATGCAAGAGCTTTGTGGCTTTTTTTTTTTCTCGGTTGTTTGTACAGAACAATGTTAAGTGAAAAATGAATAAATGTTTGTGTAAAACCTCTCTAACACTGGAAGCTGAGGTATTTCCTGAAGCATGGGTTAAATTGTTCTAAGGCAACTTTTCTTCAAGCCGGGAAATGCAGATCTGCTGGTGAAATTGTTTCCACGGCAGGTTTCTGCCCAACCTGCTGGGTGGAGAGCACACACCTCATTGCAGAGATGCACAGCAATGATTTTTTTGATAGCTGGGGCCGCTGAAGGCAATGCACAGAGGAGCAGGGAAACACCATTTAGCAAAAGTGTACAAGTTCATCAGAATATGCTGACGCTAGTTTCAGCCAGTCCAGGTTGGAGCATAGAGAAGTGTGTGCGTGTACTGTATGAGGAGTGACGTTAAACTGTTGTGAAAATAAAGGTTTCGCACAGAATACTGCTTCTGCTGCTTTTTTCGGTGGTGGGGAACGTAGTGGTTGAATGACATCATTAATGATCTTTGTTTCTTGTTTCTGATTTGCAGTGTGTGCTGTACTTGTGGGCCTTGAAAATCCTTTACCCCAGAACACTCTTTTTACTTCGTGGGAATCATGAATGTAGACATTTAACAGAGTATTTCACATTTAAGCAAGAATGTAAGTCTGCCTTATAACCTTCCTCCTCTTAACTCACCTCCATCACTTGTCTGGTTGTTGACTTGTTTTTTTGGGTTTTGTGTTGTTTTTTTGTTTTGTTTTGTTTTCCTTTAAGTATAACATTTTCCCATTTACCCTGTAAGTAGGCATAAACTTTTTGGTCTGCTCCTTTCATAGGAATTCCTTTCTGTGTTGCAAGAAAGGATACAGTGACCCACAAAAGCTCATTGATGTAGACCTTCACCTGCACAATGAAGTTGGTTTTCTTTTTTTTTTTCCTGTGGCACTGTAACCTGAAGCTGTTGCCATAAAACTGTTTCCTTTTTGGCACTGGGGATAAAGGAAATGCTAATTGGCTCAAAGGCTTCATGGTTTACTGAGTTTAATAGCCTACTGGTAAATTAATATTTCAGCGTCGTTGTACCACCTCATTCATTTCATAGTGGCATTTCTGTAGATAATTAATTATAAGGGACTGGGCTAAAGTTCTGATTACTTCATAGGGAGTAACTGAGCGATAATGTAGTAGGTGATAACCCTTCCGCAGACTTTTTAAGGCTTGCTGCATAGATTTCATGGCAGACTATAATATAAATTGTTTATTTGGAGTTTTTTAGAAAAATATAATAAACTTGGCAGACCTTTTATTAGTTTCACCTCCGAATCTAAATAATTTTTCCAGTAGTGAATAATGATAATCCTAAAGATTTTTTTTTTTGCATGAGAGAAGTTTTGAAACTGTTCTCAGTGTAAGAGAGAGCAAGACTGAGATATTAAGCAGCATCCTAATTTCTTTTTTCCTCTGAAATATTGATGGCATTTTCTGATACCATCTTAACCTTTAAAAGGTAAAATCAAATATTCAGAACGTGTGTATGATGCCTGCATGGATGCCTTCGACTGCCTTCCCTTGGCTGCTCTGATGAACCAACAATTCCTGTGCGTACACGGTGGCTTGTCTCCAGAGATCAACACCTTAGATGACATCAGAAAAGTAAGTCTGAATAGCCGTCAGCTCTAGTAAGTGATGAGTTAGTCACCAGCAACTCAAACTTGAATCCTTTCTCACTGTTGTTCATTTGTGTAAGATGCTCCTATGTCATGTTGACATTCAGGTTGACATTATCACCTTTTAAAGGTCTTTTTAAATAGAACATAAAAATAATTGCTGCAATTAGTCATATTTTATTGAGGTGAGGAAATCACCAGTATCCACTAAAACAAAGGATTTACCATTTTTGGGTTCTAATAAAAATATGTTGTGTATAGAAGTATTTAGGAGCGAATGAATACATAGCATTAGTTTCTTTTAAGTATTACCTACTAGCACAATGTAGGCATGATGATTCCTCGTGCCTTCCTAGGCATTCTGTGCTTTCTTGGAGAAGAGATAAAAATAGCTCTAGAAAAACATCATAGTACTTAAAACATAGAATAAAAAAGTATGGTAGAATTGTAATGAATATAGTCAAAGCAACATGATTATTTTAAAAAGAGTCAAGAGCTTAATTTTCAGTAGGTCCTGCCACATTTTAGTGGTGCTGCATTGGAGTGCCCAGCAGATGGTCTGAGCAGGGCTGGGTGGGTTGATGCTGGGGTGGTACTCTTGTGTTCTGAGAACTTTCTTATGAATCACGTGAAAATTCAGAGAACAATGTCAAATGGTTTCTTCACGTAATCCAGTGTTGTTGCGTGTTATCAAGGATTAATTTTTTTCAGGTGTTTTGTAAAAGAGGTCTCAGTTGGTATTTCTGAAATGAGGTATTTAAACCATTCATTCTTAGTGTTTCCAACAGAAAATATTTTCTTGTTTCTTACTCGCAGTTTGAGACTTGCAAACGTGGTTATATACTTCTGAGCTTTAAAGTTACTCAAAGATAAATAATATTCTGAGGTTAATTTGTAGGCTACTAAGAAATTAATATGTTTTAAAAAAAAACAAACTTCAGCTGTTAATTACAGGTTTTGGTTTAAAAGCAATTAGATTACAGTATTAACTGCACTTTTGAAAATTACTGAAGGTAAAGTTTTTGTTTCTGAGGTAAAGATTCACTATCTTATTAAGTAAAAATATTCTCTGCCTAAAAATTATCTGGCTTTGCAACAACGTAATGGCAGAGTAAAATTCTTTGGCTCTCAGATTCTAGATTAGTGTCATTAACGTCTTAACATCCCCCACCGCCCCACCGTTTATTAATCTTTGGCAATCATCAGGTTTTGCATATTTATGAATTGTTATTTAATTTAAATGAGTTATATTTACAAAGGCATCAATTGGTAGAGGGCTGAAATATGTTAGTGTAGGAATGCTGTGGATATTTCATGATGAGGATGCAAAAGTAAAATTGTAGGGGTCTCTTATGAAAACTTTTTAACTGAGTGTTGAAAACATATAAAACCAATTTTTTCTCTGAATTTTTTGGGAGGGGAGGGGGAATATGTTAGGTATGCTACTAAATCATTACTTGATCTTTCTGGTCCACATAGAGAACATTTTGGACTGTGAAGCTGATTCATACAAGCATCTTAACAAGGGATGTTTTTATCTTAAAGAGTTCTTGCAGAGAAATACTGGTTTTTAATATTTCCCTGTTTTGCTGTACTTTGTCTTATTTTCAGTATGATGCGATATAATTTGAATTTTTTACTACCAATAGGCAGAAAGAGGTGTTTTTAGCTGTTTAATTAGGGTTAAGTTTATGAGAGCAACAAGAATGTCATGGCAAGATGCTGTAATGCAGAGATGTTATTTAAATACAGTTTTTTTGTGAAAATGTATTAAATCGAAATGGGAACTTGCTTTGAAATAACTACGGCATTTTTTTCTTGAAATGCCTCACTCATGTAAATCGAGTGCCATGATGTTTGAAAGATTACAAAATACAGAAATACCATCTTCTCTCATCTGCTGAAATTCTTACCAAAAAAAAAAAAGTAGAAAAAGGAAAAAAATGCACACAAAAATTCATGTAGAATAGGAATCCTCTGTATCTCTCAATTTTTGGTTATATCTGTTCCTTCTCATCTTTGTCAGTGTTAGCAAGGAGTGTTGTACTGTTATTCAAAACCCATTACTTAAAAGCTGAGAGCATCTCTAAGCTGAAAAATAGATTGGTTTGGCTCTTTGTTTGACAACCCGTGGAATGAAAAACAGCAACTTGGCCTCAGCATTTCGGTGATACACAGTTGAAAGAAGTTAGTATTTTTTTGTCTCCTATTTTTCTTAGTTAGATCGATTCAAGGAACCACCTGCATACGGACCTATGTGTGACATCCTGTGGTCAGACCCGCTGGAGGACTTTGGGAACGAGAAGACTCAGGAACACTTTACTCACAACACAGTCAGGGGCTGCTCGTACTTCTACAGGTGAATATTGCTACTTCAAATGGGTTTCTCTATGTGAACTTGTTCTGCTTTTGCAGAATAAATGTTTGCTTGAAGTTTGTGGCACTACTTAGATAATTGGGACTTTTTTTTTCTGCCGGCTTGCCCTGTTTTCAGGTAATTTCATGTTTGGTTTATTTTTATCTTGCTTTCACCCACAATTGGGAAACTCTAAAGTGACTTAATTTTATTCGCCAAAGCCTGTGTATGTTGCTTATTTCTCTTCTTGTAAGTTAGGGAATGTGTCACTTTGAAAAAGGAGTAACTACATTTCTGGTTTGAAAATTAGAACTTAATTTTGAATGAAAGGTGCCAGCATTGGAAAACTCGCTACCTGTTGCTCTGCAGGGTAAGTAAAAATTGTGATTTCCCATACACAGGTGCTTTTTTTTTTCTTCTTTCAGTTTTATCAAACTTTTGTTTGTGTTTGGGAATAGTTCTTCGCAAGAAATTCAGGATTTGAACAGCACTGGTTAAATGGGACTTGCTGAGAGCAGAAATGCAGACAAGTGCCTGTGACATTCTTGCACAAACAAGTGTGGACTTAAATGCAAAGACATCGTTGTAATTCATTTTTAAAATTATTTCTTTCTGTTGATGTTAGTGACATGTAACTGTGAGAATACTCCTGAAAAAAAGTAATGGTAATGGGGACAGAAGGACATCTAAAGCAAATCTGCGGGTTAGTTTGTGGCTGTTTAAAGGAGGCTTTCTTCTCTGTTTCTCCTCTGCTTAGTGGTACTTGTCCTTTGAGCACAGGGGGTTTGGTGTAAAGGGTCGGAAGACTCTCCCTCCTGTCTCCATTAAATGAGTGGGTTTCCTTGGGTGCCAGGGGATGTCCCACTGTCCCCTCTTTGGCAGTGCACAGGGAGACCAAAGCAAGCGACGAACGGTTCCCTTGTCCCAGTTCTGCTTGGGTGCTGGCTGCTGCCTTTCTGTGGTTCCAGTTTGTAGACCGAGTCCTGTGGAGACCCCTGAGGTCTGCCTGAGCTGGTGATGGAGAACCTCTGAAGCACTGCTTCCATCTTCTCTGCATCACAGGATGGGCCTGCGTTACCTCATGAACAGCAGCGGTGATTGCGTTGTACCCTCCTCTGACACTGGGGGGGGATTTTGAGGGAATTATTTTTGTTTGGGTTTTTCTTTTTTTTTTTTTGTGTTACAGTAGTCAAGAACAATTTACAAGGACACCAGAGTAATAAAACTGGCAGGGGAGGAGGTTAATTGGCAAATTGAGCAATTTATCCAGTGAAATCTTAACTTAAAAAAAAAAATTTTTGTTCAGGAGCAATGTGAAGATGCTATTGAAACATTAAGAGCTTGTTGAACCTTTTGAAGGGAGCAGTTCTGCTGCAGCCCGTGCTAATGACGTGCAAACTTAAGTTTTCCCAACAAGTTAGAGCAGAAGTGAGGAGTCCAGCTCTTTTAGTTACCTTAGAAAAATCTCACCTTGAGCATAGCTCGCCCATTGCTGTTTAGTAACATGTCCAAAGTAAATCAATGGTTTTTTTTGCACTGCAGCCTGGGCTGCCACTGTGCACCTTTTGTGAGCAGGTTGTACCGCTGCCTTCAGATCCATCCCATCTGGAATGTGCTCGATAAATGCGCTTGATCTCGTGATGAAAGAAGGTGTCAAACGGTTGCAAACAGTTGATCTGTGCGGAAATGGGCTTATGGGTCTGAGGGCTGAAATAATTCCTCTTCCTCCCAGCAGCACTGAACGTGGAGCATGCCTGGGACTCCCGGGCACTGCTCACTGTAAACAGTGAGTAATAGCGGTTTCCCCTCATGAACCTCTCCTACAAATGTGCAAAGCTTTGCAAGCATGTGTTGAGCTTAGACACAGGGCTTATTATGTACTGGAACAACTTTTAGATTTTAGGGTTGGTTTTTTTTTTCCCAGAGCTCTGTTTCTTACAATTACCATAAAATTCCCCTAAAACATATATCAGTTTCTTCCTGAAAATACATCAGATCTAGTCTGTATCCTGACTCATATTCAGAAAAGTGCATATTTCAGGAAAAGAGGAAATACTTGGAAGATACCTAATTGTCAGGTCATGTGTGAGGGACATGTCACTGCTTAATGACTCAAGCAGATGACTAGCTTGGAGTCACGTTGTCTGAGATTGTATAAAGGCAAGTGGTGCTCTCCAAAGAAGTGCCTCCTTGTTCTGGAAGGTCGCTGGTTGCTCACCTAATGGTAATCCCTGGCAAAAAAAAGTATGTATTGATTGGTGTGCTGCATCTGATTGTGTTTGCCTTTTCTAGTTACTTCCTGAGAAAAGGAGCAGATTTCACTGAACATCTAGCTCAGCTTGTAAAGGCAGGACTGAATTATGCAGTCCTCCTCCAGGAACGTCTGTTGATAAGGATTAACTTTGTTTATTCTTCAGTGAATAAAACTTCTTCGTTTCTTCAGTCATTTCCAGAAAGGAAAGTTGAAAGATAGCAGTGGACATTTTAAAGGAAGGTCAGGAAGATTTCAGGCACACATGTGAGCCAGGGAAATTATTTCTAGATGATTAAGATCTCTTAATCAATTGCAGGAACGAACTGTAATAAATAGCTTTCATTTTATGTTCATTATAATGGCAAGTTTCAAGTGACTTTTTTTCCTCTAACAGAACGGTATGGGGAAAATAACAGTGATGTGGATAACTGGGTACGTGCAACATGTTGACAGGGCTTACCAGCTCAGTAGTACATGAAATCGCCATTCAACCAAAACTCATTTGTGAGATAGGTAAATACCAGTCAGAAAGGATAAAGACTCTAGCTTATAGTAGTCTTCCCAGGTGATCGCTCCCATACAGCCTATTGGATTTTAGACTAGTCAGGTTTTTCTTCAAGAAGCTTCCTTTTGTGTAAGAGTTCTTGAAACTGTTATGTAAAATGTCAGATTTTGAAACCACGGGCCTAGCCTGTCATCTAGAGATGTAAAGAATAGTCAGCTTCAACTCTTCGGTTGTAAGAGTCAACGCCTTTTGCATCCAGCAGCGTTTCGTGGTGTGGATTGTCAAATTTTATACAACCTTGGAAACAGCAATAGCACAGTGCCACAGTGAAAAGTAGCTGTGAAATTTAAGTAGTTCTTGGAAATTTATTGAAGTTCTCTGTACCTTAAAGGGAACGGAGAGCAATAGTCATGAGATTTCATTTCCATTTTCTGAAATTTAAGGCCCGTCGTGGTCACGTTTGATGCAAATTCATGAGAAGACAGAAATAATTAATGGAGTGCTAGTTGTGGAAATTGTTTTTTAGTTACGAGTTAAATGAAGCTTTTCTTTCATCCTTACCCAAAATAGTCTCATATTCGGGGAAAGTTATGAACAAGAGGGAATTAATATTCACCCCCACCCCCTCCGCCCCTCGATTTTTCAGCTGATCCGGTTGGTAAAGAAGTTTTCCTCTTTGTTTATTTAGTTTTCCCTTGAGTTTAATTAGTGACTGTTTATTTTGCACTTAGGGTGTACTGCTCTTGCCAGTGACCCATTGCACTTACTTCACGGACTAGTGGTACACTAACTCTCCAGCATTTCTATAAGCAATATATCTGATTTGGCAAGATATACTGTTACTTATCGTCTTGAGAATGGCTTCTTTCAGCGATCAGAAAGCTTGATTAAGTCAGGTGGACTTTATTTCTCTGAGAAAATAATATTAACTTATGGAGAGACAGCCACTAAGTGTGTTTAGGCAATTGTTGACACGTGGGGAAAACTTTCTCCTTTCTAAACTACACTAGGATGGGGAGTGTTGTTGCTCCCCTGAGATTTACTGGATGGGATGAAGAATTAAAATGTTCTTTCATTGCATTCGGACAAAGTTACTATGAGCGTGCATGGTCCTAGCAGGGAAAAATTGTGACTGGGTCCACACACAGCTTGTTTTGTTTCCTTTGTGTCAAAGCTCTGGGCAGGAATGTTGTGAGTTTGGTTGCACCACTTGCTTTTCTGGGATCACCTGTGTGTGTAAGACTTGGCTAATTACTGACTGTTAACAAGAGCACGGGAGTGCCGTGAGCCTGGCCCAAGTCAATGGATAGCCTCAGAAGTAGAGCAGATACTCGGAAGTTTTCTGCAGGCATGGTGCTCCAGCTTCTCTTGGCTTTTCTTAGTGAGTCTAGTATCAGTTGTTAAGGAATGCTGAGCTTTATAAAGCTGTTTGGCTGTTGACTGCGTTGTTATATTTTTCAGAAGCGACAAAAAAAACTGAAGGCAGGAATGGTTGGCAGCGGCAGGAATGGTTGGCAGTGCAGACTCCTCTAAGGCATGGATAGCAGGGAAATGGTTGGACTTGCAGGTGCTCTGGAGTGGAATAATCAGCACACCATTGCAGGGGTTTGCTCTACATGCATGTGAAGCTTGTGAGCATGCAAGGACGAGAGAAATGTCTGCTGAAAGCTTTTGAAGGCTGTAGCATGTTTCACCTCAGAGTGTGAGGCACGGTTGTAGGAATGACTTTTTGCAGCACTTTAAACAGATTCTTTTGCCCACTTTTCCCTTCTCCCAAGCCAGAAGATTTTTACTGCCCTCACATCCTCTGCCCAGCTGTGTTGGTAAAACTGCTTGTGTGCTCCAGCAGACCTGGGAACACATCCAATTTTCAAAGAACAACTCTGCAAATAAAAGATAATGTGTTTATTTGTTCTAATCCCATGCAGTTCCCTGCTCCCCTTCACGGTGCAGCTCTGGAGACAGCACAGCTCAAGGCATGAAAAAGCAGGTGGAGAGAGATGTGCTGGGAGCTGCCTAGGACAGCAGAGCAGCAGCAGCATTTGCCTTGTTGGGGACCAAAGTGTGACACTAACAGGCTTCCATGAAAACTGCTTCTTGCATGTGCATGTAATCTTACAAAAGCTGGGGGGCTAAATGTGAATGTCCTCTTGTAAAAGAAATGTTTACGCCTCTGCATTAGTGGTATGGTGAAGGATATGAAACAAAATAGATTCAGTTCATCCAGTTTTTCCAGTTATTGGTGGAAGAGCAATATGAAAACCTCTGCCATTTTGGTTCGTGTTAGTAAAGTCTTGCTTCTCTTCCAAAACTGTTCAGAAATCATCAGTGATCATGCAAAAGAGGCCTCAGAACTAGTAAACTATGCATGAGGCATTTTAATGAAAAAAGGATGCCAAAGTAGGGAATACCACAGTCACACACTCCGTGGAGAATAACATCTCTCTAGCTTAGTGGTGGGGTATTTTGTTTTCTCCATGAGTCACTGCTCAGCCGTGATTCAGCATGACACATGAAGCGCAGGCAGAAGGCAGGGTCGTTCTGGAAAAGCCTGTTGCGTGGGGTGTCTGTGTTTGTTTGTTTTCTCTCTTGGCCAACTGCTTTATTTCTGGCTCATCTGAATTACAGTCTGGGCTCTGCAAAGCAGGGCAAGGAGGAGAGTGTTTCTGGAAGGGTAGCGATGAGAAAAAATAGTAGGGAATTGTATTAAAAGATGGTAATTTTTATTTAAAAATATTAGAAAAAATAATCTCCAAGCAGAAGTCTTTTCTGTAAAAGCTTGTTTCTGAGAACTTTTGCCATAAGCTCTGTTTTCTTGGAATTTTGCAAGACTTCCTGCTGTTTACCTGGAGGGCATGTATTTTTGTGTTGAGTAATATTAATAAGAAACTGCATTTGGGCAGGAGCAAACTGATGTTCAAGTGCTGGAGAAAGCCCTGTATTTATTGTTGCAACCAGCCTAGCGTATGTAATAGCTGCATAGGGTGAAAACTTTGCTGCTCCCCAGCACCCGCTTTAACAAGTAGCTGAAGAAAAATGCCTGAGAATTGTTTTGCCTTTTTCAAAAAAAAAAAAAAACCAAATAGACTTCTCATGAGTTGTAGTGGCCTGGGTAATATGAGTGCTTGCCCATTACAGATACCATGCTATTCACTTACAGAAAAGAGGGCAACCAGATTTTTCTGTATGTGTGTATTTTGTATGTGAGCATGATGTGGCGTCTCTGCCTTTCTAGGTGTGAGCCCTGTCGAATCAGCCAAATTCTGCTAGTAGAGGTCTGTTTTCCATGGATTTATGAAGAATAAGATAATTAAGGATTTAAAAAAAAAAAAAAAACCAAACTAGTTTTGTACTTCGAAATGGAAAGAAGAACCTATCATGTCTATTTAGGAACATTTTTTACCACTTCATTATGTCTTCTTTAAAAGCGGTACTTAACACTGAATGAAGAGAATACTATGAAAAAAAAATAATAGGCTAGACATTTTGAGCAGCTGCGCTGATAATGAACATAATCAACTGTCTATCAGATTTTTCATTATAGGCCCTGGTTTTCAGAAGTTAATGTAAAAATTTCTAAACAAAATGTACCATAAGTCTACATTTCTTCACAATTAATTATGAAAATAAATGTATGCAAATTAGTTCTCATTTGCCAGTGGTTTGAATGGCAGCCTGTCAGCATTTGAGATCACTGCAGTTGCCAAAACGATACCCCACATAATTTGGGAATTGAAATTATTTTATAATGGCAATCTTTTTAGACAATTCCAAATACCAAACCTGCGACTGAGAATATATACTGGATGGGTCAAGTCCAAAACCAGCAATGTACCATTCTGTTGGCTTTGTATAAATGACATTTCATCTTCAAAACGTCCAGGAAGGCTGGAAGCAAGCTGTAGTGTTTCTCTTGGATAAACTGAAGGAAGATGATGCATTACATTTTTGCAATTTTTTTTCATTCATTTTCATCTCTTTCATGCATGAAGTCAGCAGCTGTTGAGGCTGTTAAGTGATTGCAAGGGGGCTCTGAAGGTGGTCCATGAAATCATCGCTGGGACAGCAGGTCTTTTCTAGAATGTTTAGTTGAGATATTTTTTTTTAACTTGTTCACTATGTTTAGCATAACATTTTGCATAACAGTGTTACCAGGTCTTACCCCTACGGTACTGCAAAGCAGCCTGCTCTTGTCAGGTCTTTGCTAGTGAGGATGGTCCTGTAACATCATACCTGTGTGTGAGTTACCCTGGGAGATTCAGAGACTCAGCGAGTTGGTGTTATTTACAGGCACGCTGCAAGCCCACCGTGCTGCAGAACCAGCACAGAAGTGATGCTGTGAAAAAGAGATACTTCAGTGTCCTCCCTAACACCTTGTCTTACCTGCTTTCAGCCTTTCTGGCTGTTCTATTGTTGGAACTATGGGAGAGTTGAGTCGATAGTGGGACATCAGCATGGTGAATAGATGTTATGCAGGGTCTGGTTTGCTTTTCCTTCAGCCATCAGGTGTCATTTCAGAGCTGCTATGTAAGGTTTACACCTTTTGCCACCAATTTTGATTTTTTGGAGCAATGGGTTTGATTGTTGCTCTCCAACGTGCACAGCAATGAGAAGAGGAAATGATAACGTCTACGTGTCACATCCTGGGCCTCAGATCCTGGAAAGTCTGTCTCCTGGTCCGTGTCAGGTCAGACGTTGCTTTGGAGCAGGCTGTGCTCAGAAGGCAGCCCAGCTCTCTGCCCGTGCCAGCCCGCTTCCCACCCTGCTGAAAGGTCGTGAAATACAAAGCAGTCAGCTGAACGATGGCTTGGTTTCAAGGGTGGGAAATAAACCTGAATAAGGCAAAAGAAATTGTACAGGACTGGCCCAAAGAGGGAGAAAAGGGAAGAGCTCTGGATGTCATCTGAATAAAGACGTTTTTAAGGGGGTTGGTAAGGTTTTGCCAAATCTGTGAAATCTCTTTTTTTCCAACACTACTTCTCCTTTACCCTCTTCCATGAATGTTCTTTGTTCTGTTTTGCTCTTGTTACACGTGGCTTTTTACAGGGAAAACAGGAAGTTTCTTGGGTTCTTGTATGAAATTACTAATGACAGGAGAAGAGAGGTTTTGCTTCCTGTCTCAAAGTGATAGATGGCCATCGTGCTTGTTCTCCATCACGGAGAGTCACCAGTGGTTTAAAAGCGAGAAAACAGTCACTACAGGAAAAAAAAACCCAAAAGTTCTTTTTGAAAGCAACAAAATGGAGTCGTTTGAAGTTCTGTAACATTTATTTAGTTATTTTAAATAGCTTTTCTCTAAAAAACTTACTATTTCTGCGTTTGGGTTACGCTATGTTTTGTTTTTGTTGTATGTGATTTCCATATGTGTTCAGTGTCTTCTACAACAAGAACAGTTTTCACAGTGCTCAGGTTGTAAGAAAGGGCTCCTCCGTTCTCCTTGAAAGGAACGCTGTCCGTGTGCAGTGAAAGATACGATAGATTCCTCGATCATATTCCTCTGTCACCATTTATACCTCGTGATTCTGTCTGCACTCATACAGTAGAACGCGTCTTGGAAAGATGGGCACATTTTGGGGCTTTTGAACGTCACAGAATTTACATTTTAAGTTGCCAAGGGAAAAGCTAATTCTTGTTTATTAAGGAGATGAAGTTCAGAAGATCAAACATCTCCAGTTTAGAGACTGATTTGACTTCCTTCTTTCTGTCTTTCTCCCTCTCTTTCCACAGACCACCTTATTACCTGCTGTCCAGACTGTGGTTAGTGGGCAAGGACATTTTCTGTTGCAGGCAACCACTGCATCACATTTTTCTTTTTCAGAGCACGTTGAGTCTGAAAGTATAAGAGAAGAAATTATTTTCTTTCTCACAAGTGACGGGGTGATTGTTGTTACATAATTAATTGCAGCTTTCCAGCATTCGTCTCCACGTGGTTATGGGGTGGGATGCAAAAAGGTGATGCTGCTAGCGTCGCTACTGGATTCAGAGAGGGACTGATGTCATGAATGATGGATGTTGGATAAAACATTTTTTGAAAGTTAGAGCTAAATGTGGTGCTATGCCATTACAGGTGTTATTGTTTTCTTCCAACAGTTACCCTGCTGTATGTGAATTCCTACAGCACAATAACTTGTTATCTATACTCCGAGCTCACGAAGCCCAGGATGCTGGGTAAGTATGTTTGGAGAGGGCGTACTAAGAATGAATAATGGCTTACCATTGTCAAACAAGAGCAAGGAAAGAAAGAATAACTGAGAATGAACTGGAAAACTGAACATTAAGTTGCAACAGCTTTCACTTGTTATTAATGCTATAGAAACATAAGCTAGCATTAGAATGTCTTACATGATTATTTCTGAGTTACAGGACTTAATGAGTCCTCATATATCCCACTTACATATCCTTAGTGATTTTAAGTGGCATAAAATGACCAAAAGTGATTTTGATGCCAAATTTGGGAAGGAAAACAAATTCAGCTCAGCAAAAGAAGTTTTGCAAATGTGCCTGAGCCTTCTGACACGCTGATTGCCTGGGAAGTGGTTTGGCTCACGAATGCCAGAACTGTCATCTCCTAAGTCTTTCACACCTACCTGAAACTTCTGCTTTTACACTTTATCAAGACAATAAACTTGTGCCAAAAATTATTTCATGCAGGGCTATCAGTCAGGAATTGAAGGAGTTTATTAAGACACAGTGTGCAAAAACAATCCAGGTCAAGCACTGGGTGGTGTTGATGGTTCCCTTATAAAACTGTTACCTGTGTAAGGACAGAATTTTTTATGCTGCTTAAAAAAATTATAAGAAATTACCTATTCATTGAAATGTACCGTACTTGTGAGATTTTAATGAAGGATTGGTATCTGAATAAATAGCTTTGCATATCTTGCATAAATTATTAATGTGTTGATTTGGAGGTGGAAACTTTACCCAACCTGAACAATAATAAAAGATAAAGTAGCAAGATTGTAGGAATGAGGTCGATTCTCACTATGCATATAAAAAGCTATTCTGAATGTTTGAATTATCGCATACTTAAAAACCCCAATGCAATTAAAAGCAAGATATTACTCTGCCAAAAATAACTGGCATGAAATACCCAAGGGTGGTGAAATTTCATTTTTATTGTATTGCTTTCCAGTAAAGGGTGAAAAATAAAATTTTGTAGAACGGATTCCATTGAAGCTATACAATCCTTTCAGTGCAGCTATTGTGGATGTTTGCCAGATTCTCCAGTTTCTTGTAGCTGAAGACTAAAGAGCAGTATTTGGTGTTATTTTGTGTCTTAATAAAACAAAAGTACTATTTGGTTGGTTTGCTTCCAGTTACTTGCAGGTTTAATGCTTAACTGATTATACGTTGGTCCAATAAGCCTTTTTTTTTTTAATTTTTTGGCCATCCCAAATAGATATAATGAATAAGCTTGCAGGACATATTTTTTTTTCAATGACTTTAAAAAGCACATCTGCATGTTTTTCTGTCTTGGCATTTGTTAGCAGCCAGTGCACTAACACACTAAGGTTTTTTGCACTATATTTGATCGGTGACAAATACACATACAACACTGGGCAGTAATTAGTGTCTTCTCTTTCCTTTTAGGTACCGTATGTACAGGAAAAGCCAAACAACAGGCTTCCCTTCACTAATCACAATTTTTTCTGCACCAAATTATCTAGATGTATACAATAACAAAGGTAAGAATTTAATTCCTGTTAATATACAGTAGGCTGTACTTCTCTTTACTCGAGGCCAGGCTGGATGAGGCTTTGAGCAACCTGGGCTAGTGGGAGGTGTCCCTGCCCATGGCAGGGGGGTTGGAACTGGATGATCTTTAAGGTCCTTTCCAACCCAAACCATTCTGTGGTTCTAAATATATTACATTAGTTTCCTTTTTCACTCCTTTGTTCAGCAGTTCATGCCCATTTTCTTCCTCTATTTATTAGTTCATGCCCATTCCATTTATTACATAATACAAATCTAATTAAATCTATTAGAGGCAGATGTATGCCTCTGAACATAACTGTAGGTTCTAATATGCCCAAGGATATTTCTGTATTTTGACTGCATGTTATTCACTAAATGTTACGCAGGAAGCAAAACTGAAAACAGCTCTATTAACAGAGAGAAATATATTAAGAAATGCTGTGGGTGAGATGTGCAGAGCCCAGTGTTCCTTATAATTAATTATTTGTCCCTTTGCTCCTTTCCAGTAAAATTAATGGACTTTGTATATGCAAGCCCTCTAGCCAGCTAACAAACTTTGACAGTGGATAAAGCATGGGATAGCTATTGCCTGAGTTCCATTATGTTTTGGGTTTTTTAATCACTGAAAAACTGTTACGTAGGAAATTAAATATCATTAGCCAAAAAAAAAAGGTTACTGCGTAAATAAGCAGTCACTGGTCACTCTCTAAAGACTCCCTGAATACAAGTGTTTGTGGCTTCTCTGAGTTTATTAATTTGCTGCATTCCCTGAAATCTCATCTAATGAACTGTAAAAAAAAAAAAAAAAATCATGTTTCTAAAAGTAAAGAATTCTAATAAACCTGTCCTCCTATATCTTGAAATGAGCAATAATGTTTACTTTCTCCTGTTCACAGTAAAGCTAAAGTTATTTCTGTTCCTCTGTGAGAAAAATAAGAGTTTTTAAAATTATGTTCTTGAAAGTAGCTCCATTGCAGAGAGATCAGTCTTTCTTGAGAAGAGACATTTTTAATTTGGATGCTTGCCTGCAAAGGAACTAAGGAATTTTATTTTTTTTTTAAACTTGCAAAAGAAAGCTTTTTCGGGCATAATTTTATATTATAAAAGTTATAATCTAAAAGCTGTTATGCCATGAATTGTATGCAAGGGAAGGAGGCACTTTGCTGTTGGCTGGTGGGGTTTGTGCACTTTGGTGTTCTCACTACGCGTGTTAACTTGTAGAAAAAAAAGCATTCTGTAAAAAGCCACGCAAGCAGAGTTGTCAGTAGCTACTTTTGTAAAAGTAAATTCTATAGGAGCTGTGCCAGCAACCTGAAAACAAGGGATGTGTTAATATTGTTGGCCGCAGGGTTGCTGTTGGTGGAGAAGTATGTTTCCTCTCTGGGCTGGCTGCTTTGGGCAGAAGGCAGCCGGGTGACGGGGCCGTACGAGTTGAGGTGACAGAAACCTTTTGTTTCGTAATACATGGAGGCAGTTCTGCACACACGAAGGTGATGGGTGAAAAGGTGAGATTTTTGCCATGAAGGCCAATGCTAAGCGTAAAGCAGTGATTTATAGTATTCCAAATCTCGGATTGGAAGCGATGAGGTTTGGGTGGTGAAGATACGCGCCTCTCTGTTAGCTCCGCTGTGGAAGGCAGGGTCGTTCCCCTTGCTCCGGGATGCTCCGCTCTCACAGGCAGCTCTTAGAACGAGCAGAAGGTGCTGGTTATCTGCAGTCACGGCTGAAGCTGCCTGCACTGCTGGCAGTACCTGCGCCGTGTGAGCTCTGGCTGTGGTGCAAGATCAGCTCCGGTGTGCTGCTTCGTAATGTACAACTTGGTGTAAATTTAGAGGCTGACCTTTAGCAGCTTTGCAATTAATTTCTGTGGGGTTTAACTGCTTCCTGGTTTCTCGTAGAAAGTTTTGCCGCATTATTTCGTGTGACTGATTGCACCGGCTCTTGGTATTGAAAGTGCGTAGTTTTCCGTGCTGCATTGCTCGCGCATCTTCATCTGGATGGGCATTTGGGGCTTGCTTCCCTCTGCCAGAAAAGAAAAACCCCGTCATCCTCAGTCCGTCCAAAACACAGCTTCCTTGCTTTGCAGGAGATGAGTTAACTGAGAACACAGGGCTTCTGGCTGACTGATTTCAGGAGGCAAAGGAAGGCTTTTCCGTGCAGAGGTGTTAGAGGATGGTTGCTCTAGCTGCCTCATCGTGCAGTGGTGCAGAACCTGATTGATTTTTACAGGTCGTTTGGGGTTTTGGTTGCTGTCAGTGCTTGGAAAATGAGTTATTCTCCTAGTAGTAAGTGCCTTCCTTTCTAGTATCATTCTTAGTACGCTTCTTATTCTCACTTAGCTTATAAAGTCATCCTAAATAAATTCCTGAGCAGCTTTCTCTCCCACTGGCGTGCATGGGTCACTTTTAAATGCAGTGTTGATTAAGAGAAATACATTTTTTTTAAAAGCTGCCAAGGGGCTTGGCATGCTCATTTTTTATCCCAGATTGATAGTTCTCATACCCATTATAGCAGATGTACTTTCTTACTCTTCTTCGAAGCACTTCAGAAGGGAGGGGGTTTGGTTGCCAGCTTTATCCAAAGGCTTATTCAGTCCCCGTTGGAGAGCAGCCACTGGGAATCAGATACGTACTCAAAGAGCAGACGGGAGGCGACATTCCCAGAGGAATTTTCAGGAGTAGCTGGAACTAAGGTACCCAAGCAAGACGGCGTTCAGCATTTCTGCTGTTAATAACGCGGCTGTGGACCCTCTGCGTGGGCTGTCTCACAGTACAGACCCGTGATGGAAATCTGGCTGCGCTTTGCTGGATTCTGGCACCGAAGGGAGTTCTCTGTATCCTTTTGGTTACTGGCCATTGGCTCTTGAAGGCTAAGTCATCCGTCATGTGGCTGCTGGTCCTGTGGCAGCCCCAGCCCACACACATGCACAGCTTTGGGTGCCAAAGTGAGGTTTTTCCATTAGGAGGCTCCTGTCAGGGGTTCCCTGTGTAGTTAATGCAGACGGAGAGATACACTTTCAGGAGGCGATCCAGAGACTCGGAAACTGCGTAAATATGGGGAGGCTAGCGTCCCTCTTCTTTCCAAGACTATTCCTCTCTATTATTGTTATTAATGCCTTCCAGATTCATTGTAATGGAGAGCAAAGGGGAGGAGTTTATACCTAAGTTTTTTGGCAACTTCTGAGCCTCTATTCAGTGGTTTCCTAGCTTTCTCAAACATTTGTGCTCTCACTTATCTTATTATAAGGCATAAAGAAAAATATACTTTAAGATCATTGCTAAAACTTACTGCAAGAACTACTGGTGCATTGATGATTTCCTAAGACGACTCCTTCTGGAAATGTTCAAAACTCCATGCAAGAGGATAAATGTTAATTGGATTGTGATAGTTACCTGTGACTTCAGGGCCTCAAAGGAAAGCTGTACTGATCAAGAAATTCCAAGGAAGTTGTGTAAGTAAGTAGAGGTTTGCCCCTGGATTTGAGGGTGCCCATCACCAGGAGAAATTCTCTTAATGCAATAGAGTAAGATGGTGCCAAAAATTACTGCACTGTATGATGTGCTGGCCTTGTACGGTGTCTAAGCTTTCATTCCTGCATTTAATATTTCTTAATGCCTTAATAAGGACTTGCTCAAAAAAAAAAGGGGGGGGGGGGGGGGGGGCAAGCAAAAGATTTTACAAAGTTCTACAGAGGCAGGCCATTTATTTGTAAGTCATTGGCAATACTTCATATTTTACTGTCTGGCTGTCACTTCAGTGAGTGCGTGTGTTTTGGCTGAGTGAACAATTTTAACTAGCTGTCTAAAGACAGACTATTATCTTTTGAACATTTTTAAAAGATTAGGTTTCATAGTGGTGAAATAACCAGCAGAGAATCCAAAGCTACTAAAAAAAAAAAAAAAACTTGATGTCTCTTCCATCATGCTGCAATGTATACACGGTGTTGCTGAAAGAAAAAGCAGATGATGAAGGAAAATCCCAAAGAAAGTATGCAGGGGAGTTTGGGATACTGGAAAAATCAAAGGCAGCTGTACACTGGTATGCTTGTTAACGTATCAGATAAGTAATAGATCAGTGAAGCGTGTATAAAGCATCAGCATGTGGCATACCATAGATACACATTAAGAAATGTACCTGGTCCAAATGGATCTAACAGGAAAATTATTTTCATAGTGGACGAAGGCAGAGTAATATACGTGGAAGACAAGGATGATCTTTGAGAAATAATAGCTATACAAAGCAGTGTAACCTTCTGTTTGCCCTATCAGTTTTCTTTAATGCTTTTTCTCTGCTGTTGCGATGAGGGCTTGTCATGGAAACAAAAGCTTTTGAAGAGCAGCTGTCAGGGTATCTAGGCCAGCTCATTGCTGATGCAGAGAAGTTTGCCAGAAGAGATATTTGCAGTCTGTTGACAAAATCTTGGATGCTATTGTGCTGTTTCTTTGGAAGATGCAATTGCACATGTAAAATAAAAAAACTTCTGTAAAGGAAGATTTTCCCAACTGCAGTTGGCCCTGCTTCTGCACTGGATTGTTTACATCATTACCCTGTATAGTAAACCATTTTTTCCTTTGATAATGTTTAAACTCCTTAAGCATTTAACTAACCCTTATCCCTGACCTGTCTTGGGCAGCAAACTCTGTGGTTACTTAGCAACTCTGCTGGAGGAGAAGGCACTGTTCCCAGTTGCACAGTTAATGCTGAAGTTAGTTTGGCATTAAAAGCAGAAATTGAAATTCTTTCTTAGGTATGAAGAATTTGAGAGACTTTTCACAGCATTTATTTTTTAAATGCAAGATGAGTTTTCTGAGAAAAATGACAAGAAAATGAGTTAACTTGTTTGCTAACATTATTTTGAGGTTGTTTATCTAAAAACATGTAGTTCATTCTGGGCTAGTATTTCTGCCGTGCTCATTATTTTTTTCTCTGGTGGAAACGTTATAAATTAATTTATACTGAAAAATGATTCAGCTGGTCTGAAGCAGGATACATAATGTCTTTGGATAATTCTGAATCAGTCACACAGTTCAATGCTGTTCACGTTGTCTAAGGCCTGAATTCAGCTCCCAGCATCTAGGCTTTTAAAGCACCATTTGAGATGCCAGGAGGATCTGAGACAGCCACTCAGACTTGACAGGTATGACACAGGAGCCAGGGCTGCTCTAGGCTCATCTTTAACAGAAGGAGACCAAGGTGATGCCCCGGGGGCTCTTGGATGGCACTGGGTGCTTCTGTTTGACCCTGAAGAGCTGTCTCCCATTTCTCACTGAAGGAAGGAGGTTTCCTAGGTGTACATTTTTCACCTCCAGTATTTCCATCCTTAGGTACCAATATTAAATGCTTAAAGCCGAACAGTCCAAACGCCCCTTGCCTGCTGCATTAGTGTTTCATTTCACTCTAATGTGATTTCGGCATCTGATATATGGGTTTACTAGCATTGGAAAGAGGTATAATGTCGTTTGGGATATCTGCACATCTTCACTTTGCAAAACATCAGCTTCTAAAACTCATTTACAGCAGCGCGGACCAAAATGGGGTTAAAATGTGTGTGGTTATTAAGAATAATAACAGAAGATTCTTGCTGTCCTTTATAAAACTGTGACTGGTGGCTTGGTCTGCTAGCATCTCCCTGAGTATGCTTTTGGAAAGAAAAGTATAGGAGTTGCCACCTGGAATAATAAGAAACTGAACTTAGAAATGTTGGAGAGAGTCATGTTTTCCTCAGTTGTGGGTTTCAGAACCGAAGGAACCCATCCCACCTTCTCCATGGTCTCCTCCGTCAGCGACCGCGTGGCCTGTAGCGAAATAGTCTTCAAAAGATTCCTGCTCCTGTGAGGCAGCTGGGGTCTCCTATAGCTTCTTAGGCATCAAGTTAATGTGGACTAAGAAATGAAGCAAAAGTGAAACCTTTTCTGAGCCAACAGAAAGGAGAAAAAAACCAGCAAGCAAGGGGCCAGAAAAGCTCAGGGACACTCCTGCTGTTATCTGAGAAGCATTTTCTTCTTGATCCAGGTGAAACTGCTTCTTCTGACCACTAAAGCCGTAGTCACAACTGCGTAATTGTAACAAGAGCTGGTTTATTTAATGTGAAATATCATCTTCATTAATTACCAAATAAAAATATTTTGTGTACATTGTGCTTATAAATGAAAGATTTAAAATTAAAAATTCAGGAAAGTATTTGTGATACTGATAACTACCTTACCTTCTTTTATTCTTTGGAGGGTAGGGTTATTTTAGAAGACTTCTGTCTCTGTTATTACGCTGCTCTATTGTATACTGTTATTTTTCTTTAAGTGGATTTTGGAGCCATTTGTGGGGAAAAGCTGTACAGGTCATTTACAGAAGAGAACAGTTTTTAAAATACCGTTATCAGAACTTGCTTTTGTAAGATACTCAGGTGTATGAATTAATAAGGTGGTGTGATGGTTTTATTTGTTTACAGTAATCTCAAAATAAATTGTCTTCCTTTAAAAAAAAAAAAATCAAAACCCAAAAACCAATTCAACTAACTAAAGCCATTTACATTTAATTGGATGTTTTCCAACTGTTCTGCTTATGGTTCTTGCTTTTTTAGAGGCCAGTTTTAAAAGTTTTTTGTAAAAATGACTTACTCAGTTTTCATAGAATTTAGAAATAGACTTAATGGATAAATTGAAGAAATAGTGGGAAACGAAACTACCTTAGCTCACTAAGATGATGAAGTTTTAGTCCTTCTAAATGAAACTTCAAAACCATTACGTGGTCCTTTTTGTGTGGTTTTGACTGATTTTGCTATAAAACCACAAACTATTTAGTTTTTACTATGCAATTGTCTCACTGTAATAGGAGGAGAATGAATTTCAATCTGCCGTATGTAATTTCAGCCAAAAAGTGATGGAACTATTAAGAGCATCAACACTAGTTTTCTCATTTTTGTTAATAGCCATATATTCAGCCTTTTTTATTTTTCTGAGAAGCGGAATGGCTGCTAGCTGTCAGACGAGGCTGGGCGGGAGTCAAATGTGGTTTATTTAAATGGAGAGTGTCTACCTGGCCAAGGTTCACATACATGTTAGCGAGCCGTTTGCTGTGTGTGTAGGTTTGAGAAACTCCCAGGTCACTCTGGACTCTGTCATTGGCCACAAAAGGGAAGACATTGAGCAACGTGGGAAGTTTTTGTAGGAAGGAACAATCTAGTGCATCGAAAAAGTCTCTTGTCTTATTGACGCACGGTTTAGTCAATGGAAGGAGGTGGATAATCAGCAGAAATGTTCAGCCCCTTCAGCCAACGTTCCGATACGCCGCATTTCCTATGGTGCTGTGGCATATTGCAGTTGTGAAACTTCACCGCCAGCGCTGATGTACTTTTGATTGATGGTGTTTCATCATCAGTGAAGGTTCTGTCGTGCGTGTTGCTGCTTTGGTTCATTTTTCTGTGACTAAAACTGAGGAGGATCGTTCTGAAGGTCACAGGTTACTAGATGGCATCAGGATGGCTTAATTCATAGCGTAGAAAGGCAAATTGAAGCTTACATTAAGTTACAGAACTGTCTTCCAATATGTGCAGTATATTGCCTCCAGCTTGAAAAGTATTTGATGACAGCTTGTCTACAGCTACAGAACTAGAATGGCCGCCAGCTCGGGTGGTGACCAGCGGGACGTAGCAAAGTCAGCGCTGCCCGCGTGAGGGCAAGCATCTGAGCTGGGATTTACACTCAGAGCTAGAGGTAAATGCTGGCAGTGAGATGACCAGCAAACTTCATGTATAGTTCACTGACCTGTCTTCTGAAAACTGAAACCCCACCCTTATTTTTCTGGTAATAAAAATGTAAACTTCCATCACCTTTTACAGTGGGTGGAAGCTTCAGCCTGTGTTGGCTTAGTCCCATGTTGATTAAAGATCCTGTCTGCAGTCTCCTGTAACTGTATTGTCTTCAGTGTCTTTGAGTTCAGGATAGTTATGAGTCCCTTTGGTTTTAGTTGGTCATCTCAAAATTACCTTTTTCTCCATGAGCAGTGAAATATTTGCTCTTCTGTTTCATAAATGGCTCTGTTCACATCCAGCAGCACACATATTCGGTGCCTGTGCAATTTAGAAATTACTGAATTTCAGGAAACAGATTCTGTAAATTAAAATGTGTCCTAATTAGGTTAGAGATACTGTTGCCAGGTTGAGTCTTAACTGCATTATTAAGATTTTACATTACATGTGTCAGAAAAGGGAAAAAAAAAAAAAAGGAAAAAAGAAGTAAGGGATGAGATTTAATTTTGTTGTTTCCCAAGCTGGAGCAGTTGGCCCATAAAGTGAACAATAGAAAACCAGCACCGGATGGTTTTTATTGAAAGACCATATTATTGAAAGCTCTCCGTCACTACAGGTGCTGAACCCATCCCTATTCTGTGTTCTTCCTGGTGGTATCAGTGAGGTTTGGGTAATCTACCGCACCCCAATAGCCACTTACTGCTATAAAAATGTTAAAAGTGTGTGAAAGTCTAGATTTGGTGTGGAATGTAGTGTTAGCTTAGTGTTGGGAAAACTTTATGCTTTGGAAAATGAGTTTGAAAAGGGCAGGTATCTGGACTTATTGTAGAGTTCATCTTATTTCATCTGCTGCGTTTTCAACTTGATTACTTTCCTCCTCCCTAGCCAAACTGATACTGTCCCTTTCTCTCCTGCCTGTGCTCTCTGCCCTCTCTACCCAAGCCGCATTCGGCCTTTCCCTCTTTCATCCGACTTTTGATTGCACCGGCCCTGAGTACAGCTATGGTTTCTTCTAGAAATAAATACCTGTTTCTTACTGATATGTTTTGTAATACTTTGATTTACTTTGTTCTATTAATATTGTAAAAACAGCTTAAAGTTAACCAGATCCTGTTTCAGATACGAACCTGAAGTCCATTAACACAAGTTAACACTGAACTTGATGCTTTAAAAAGTGGCAGTGACCTAAATATCTGTATTTCTGCCCATTCCCAAATGTAGTCTTTGTGCGCGTTGACAAGAATGTTATGAATTTAAAATGGTGCAAGACGGCGGCCAGTCCCACACGCGTGGCTGACGTCTCTTTTGCTTCTTTCCTTCTCCCTTCCAGCTGCAGTATTGAAATATGAGAACAACGTTATGAATATCAGACAGTTCAACTGCTCTCCTCATCCGTACTGGCTTCCAAACTTTATGGACGTGTTCACCTGGTCCTTGCCGTTCGTGGGTGAGAAAGGTGTGTAAGTTGACTCTGTTCGTAGAAACTGCAAAAGGCTTCTTAGTCGCTGTGCACGTGGCCTCGTTTATTTGAAATGGCAAGAATAATTTGAAGACAGATGACTTACTTTCGAGGACAAATTTGAAGAAACAAGCCTCAGAAGGCAAGCAATTACCAATGGTTAATCACACTTCTCATATGTTTTTACAATTTCCACTCGTTCTAGGCTATGATGCCATTATGTTTCTGCTGTAGAAATAGATTTTGTGGCATTGCAGGCCAGAGGTCCAGTCGCCGAATAAAATTCTTATTAGTTCCTTTGTAAGCTGTTGGGCATTCCCTTGGATGCTGCTTAGTGCTCAACGGACATCACAGCAGACTTCACTACACCATGCTTGCTTACACCAACTACCCTTTCTGATGCAATGATGATGGGTTGCTTTTTCACCAGGAAGCACAGAGATGGTGATGCTCAGACCCAGTCTGGTTGACTGTTCCTGGAGAGAGTAGGGAGGTGACGGAAAAGGAGAACCTGCACCTGAGCCCCTGCGCTGCCCAGGGTGTGCGGTGCCTTGTCTGAAGAACATCACTGATGTTTTATTGGAACACAGTGGCTTGATGTTGCCTGAAGACAACTTCATGCTATGAATAACTAGCACTCAAAAGGCATGGAAACACTTTGGCCTAACATGTTAAATGAATACAACATAATTCAAACCGCTTAAAACCCTGCTTGAGCCTGTTCTCCATACACATTGCGGTTCTGTACGATGCTCTGTTGGGTCATTTTTCCAGAGGTTTCCCGTCGATGGCCTCCTCATGTGAGGCTGCAAGATGTACGGCCAGATGTGTTGAGATTCCGAGACCATGAACACTCCATCTTTTTTCTTGGGTTTTGGGTTTGGTTTGGTGGTTTTTTTGGTTTTTTTGTTTTTTGTTTCTTCCTTCACGTCTTCCCAGTGGTCACTCTTACCAATTGCTTGGTACTTTTAGAGCCCCAAGGAATGAAATTGGTGTTTTACCTTTCTCTGCAAAACAAAACTCATGCATGTAAGACTTGATGTTCTGCACAGCTTTTTATTTTTTTCCTTTTTTTTTATAGATTTTTTTCCTTAAAGGCCAACCAAGGTAGGAAGCTGTTAGTTTTGCTGGTGGTTGTTAGCGTGGAAAATCTTTCCACTAATCCTGTCAAAGGAAAATATTAAATCCTTCACTAATGTAGGAAAAATATAGCTGTGTCCCACCCTTCTAATGTGCTAAGCCATCATACTTGTCACAGAAGAGGATTTTAATAACCACTTGATTAAAAAATGTAGACTTCCAACCTGTGTAGCTAGTGCAAGGCTAGACATGCCTGGTAACCCACTTAATGATACTTACTACATGTAGATGTAGTGGAGTTTTTCTCAATCTGCTAATGATTTCACATTTTACCTTGTAACTTTGGCTTTTTTGATCTCTAAATTCCATTTCCTTGGTTGTGATTTTTGTTGGTGGGGTTTTTTGGGGGGGTTTTTTGGCTGTTCTTACTCTGTGTACTCTCTGGTTAGTGTCTTACTGTTGGCTTTCCAGAAGGAGCTGGAACCTGATGAGGGGTAGCCTGAGGCTGACCCTTTCGTGTCCAAGTTACAAAGTAAGCGAGCTGAATATACTCTGAATTCACTGAGTAATGATGATTCTATTAAATACAGAATAGTTCCAGCTGAGAGGGACCTACAATGATCATCTGCTCTATTTGTCCTGGATTTCAGGAGATGCTGCCCCTTTGTAGACATCTTAGAAGGTTTAATGTTTTGTTGAACTGAAAGTACAGTGCCCAAAACCTGGATAAATAAATATTCTGTGATCCCTCCTGCTGTAATTTTTTTCAGTTGAAATGTTGTTCCATTTGCTAAGCAAGGAATGCAAATCCGACTGTACTGTAGCAGCGAGACAAGAGTGGTCAGTTGGGCTGTCCAAGTTGAGGAAAAGGCAAAACCATATTGAGGGGGAGAAGACAAAAGTCACCTAATTTATTGACAATTCAAAAAGAGAGTTTGTATACGCATTATTTTTTAAGGTTTGTTTGTTGCAGTGTTCGTTATATTTGAAACAATTTTTATGGAAACCTGTACTTTTTATTAACTACACGAGACACTTCAAGTTTATATTGCTACATGTGGAAAACAAGGTCCACGTTGCTTAAAAGTGGGTGCCATTTCTGTACTGAATTTTCAGTAACACTGCTACAGCTAGAGTTTACTCTCTGACAGACAAGGGAAGCTTAATATTAACATTTTGCATTTGTTTTCCATTTTAGTGACAGAGATGCTGGTAAATGTGCTGAACATCTGCTCAGATGATGAATTGGGGACAGAGGAAGACGGGTTTGATGGTAGGAGCCTCCTGCCCTTGGCTGAGATTGTTTGCATTGAAACTACTTTAATAGTTTATTTACTAACCCTGGGATAATTTTCTGAGTCCCATTTAAGTTCTGTGCTGCTGAAAGAAACTGTTGTGCTAGAATCCAGTGGATTTGCTTACTGCATGCTTTGGAAAGAATTAATGGATCTTCTGCCCTGTTCTAACCCTTTCCTTGGTCTCGCTCTTTTTCCCTCCGTGAAATCTGGGTTGTGTTGTCATGAAGGGGTCAGATGTTGATTTCATGCATAAGATCCCAGGGATTCCCGTAGCAAGTTTAATTATAACAATTAAATTATCTTCCTACAATGACATTAGCTTCCTGCAGAGCTCCTTCCAAAGCATCGGTACCACAACTTTGGAAGACTTGTACTTGAAAATGTTTCATTAGTCGCCTCTTAATGCACTTGTGTATCTAGAAGGCTTTAAGAAGCAATAGAATCAATAAAAATAAACGTGCAAACATAGATAATGTTTCAACCTGACATTTTTGCTCAGGAGAGAGGAATGGTCACTTCTGTTGTCAGTTGGGTTGGAGTTTATATGGTGATAAGTTGCCTTCTACCTGTTGGTTTGACTGTATATGATACTTTATATCTTGCAGTTTGGGGATTCTTAGAAGTCCATTTATTTTAAGATAGGTTATTTTCTGTTAGGCTCTGCAAGAGTAAATTGCAGTTCTCCAGAATGGCCCTTTCTCAGTTGAGCAAAACAGAAAAAAATCCCATGCATTCCTAATGTTCTTGCTGTGAATGCTTTCAGTATTTTTAAAAAAAAAATCTAGAAAAAGAACAGAAATATTAAAGAATCTAAAAAGAATCTGGAAAAATCTAGCACCACCAAATATTCTCAAGGTGTTTGTAGGTAGAATGAATGAACAGGGAGAATGAAGAGCTTTCAAGTAAGACAAATATTTAATGAAGTTGTAGTGAATAATTAAACTTCTCTGTCAGAGTCTTTATTTTTAATCTTTGGAAGAAGAAGCTAGATCATGGGTTTTGACAAGTGTTTCCTTTGCTCTGGAGAAGAAGGGTATGGGTGATAGCAGTTGGATTTTACTCTGAAGAGCCAGCTGGAATTCCCTGTTCTGCACCCACCACAGAGCGTGGACGTGTACAATTATCTTGCAGGACTTGGGACAAAGACTGAATTTATTGAAACCGGTAATCAGTGGAGAGAAGAAAAACACCTGTTTGAATATTGTGCCCAATTTTTTTGTCGTGAAATTTAAATAAGTAGCTCCTGTGTAATTAAAGCAGTGTGTGAAACAGCACGGAGGCAGACGATGAGTAAAAACTGTGTCAAATGAAATACAGTAGCAACAAAACCATGTGCTTAGCATCCTTGGCTCAAGAAAGCACTTAAGCTCAGGCTGAAATCTCACCGAACGCAATGCCAAAGCAAAGGCTTTATGGGAAGGATTTTTAAATTAATTCAGCATGAGCCTGATGCTTTCTTGTAAAGTCATACTAACAAACTGCACGGATAGGCCTGTGGTACTTTTCTAAAGCTGCAGCGCGCCAGCATTCCCCCAGCCGAGTTCCAGGTCAGGAGCGGATTTTCAAAAGCTGAGTCAAGTGGCAAGGTGCGAGGGACCTTTGGGGACAGTGGCCATCTCCGGCTGCAGGTCTCTGCATCATAGAATCATAGAATGACCCGG